GACTTTTCTAGACATATTGCTATTTTAATTTTAACGTTGGATCTTCTTGCCGACATCCATAATTTATTTTCCACATTGCCACGTTGCATTCCATCTTTAATTTGCTATTGTTTTGTTTGCTGCCACCTACAAGCTTTGATCATAAATTGCTGCCACATTTCAATCAATTCCAAAATTATGTTTGCCGACATACACTTGTGATTTAGTGTGTTGTCACATGTGATTGTTTCTACATTATTCTTGTCGACATTGAGCTTGATTTCTTAACAATAATGTCATTATATTGTAAAAAAGTGTCATATCTCCAATAATTGAAACTGAAATCGTGGGACGGACTAAGTACTCAATAATATATATATTCATATATATTTTTGCATATGTAGGTTCCCACGTGACCATTGGGAAGGGAGTGAAGATTAGAATCGTGTTGACGTAGTCGGAACATGGGCAAAGAAACATATGATCTTTTCGGTCATTCGCCTGCACTTTGCAAGTACATAACGTACCATTAGGAAACAGACGAGTCAAATCTGTTTGGTTCACTTAAAAGAAAAAAGGGCATTACTTCTGGTCCAATGTCTCTCCCAAATCATTATTCAGTCGATGATGATGAAATATGCATTTGTAAAAATTTTGATCCATTATTTAGATAATTACATAAATCATTTTATCATCTAAACATGTATCATTTTATTTTCAAGTGTTAGTTTTCGTGGCTTAATATGTCGTCAATGGCTAATAAAATATTAAAATATTTTTTCGCTAACATCAAAATCCTCTATCAGATGCATAAGTAGCTTCTTTCCCCAATTTTTTTTCTTTAAAAAAAGATTTGGTATAATGAGAAACCTAATTCGACTTTTATCACCATGTGATTTATCCATCGAGTGCATGAGCATGTAGCGAGCTTATTTTATAAATTAATAAAGAAATAGTGCATTTTTTTTATTGAAATTAGTTTGTAAAAATGTGCTATATACATTAATATTGCTTCTAAAAAATATCCAGATTCTTTTATAAATAACATAATATTTAAGAATTATTATAATTCGTGATCATAAATTTAAGGATACGCGGCAATATATATATATATACGTTATCAATTGAATAAAAAAGTTTTGAAGAGGTACTATTTGATAATTATCTCATGTTATTACAGAATAATTATTTATATTAAAAGTGAAAATGACCATTGTATCTATTTTTTTAATAATATATTAAGTTAAAATACTATACAATAATAGTTTTAATATATTTACTTAATATATAGAAATATTGTAAATGAATAGATAAAACTTGTAACAAAAAGTGCTAAAAATTTTATAAAATAAATATTATTACGAGATTCCTACATTGTCTAAGAATAGGTGTTGTTGAACTTATATATTTCGAAAATTTGATATTACTAAAAATATAAAATTATTGATTCAAAGTAATTTTCATGAATTAAATATAAGAATATATGACTATCATTAAAATATGAAATGGCTTGAACCAAACATCTTTCAATGATATTAAAAAAAATTGCATTAAAATATTAACACAAGTGATTTGTAAACGCTTTCCAAATTTAAGCTCAAAAATGACTTTACACTATTAACATCCAACCTAATTTTTTTAATTAATCACTAGTATCTGATCTATTGACCAACTAATCCAGATCAGGTATTGCAGAAGCAAGGGCAACCCTATCAACCCAGTTTGCTCCATTTGTAAATGCCATGATTCGAACCTCTAACCTTTGCTTAAGGAACCTAGTACCTCATCCCACTAGATCAACTTGTTGTTGGTCTGACACACCCAATCACAATGATAAAAAAGATGGGTTTTGTTAATAGGCATAGTTGGAGAGTTATAGTCATCTGAAATTTAGTATTAATTAATTAATTACTTAGCTTTTTGGTAAGGCAACTTCCCAATTTTGAATTAGCTTTTCAACTTTATTTCCAATTTGTTTTAACAAAAGTTGTCCATTTCATTTAACTTACCAAATTTTGCCAACTTGCGTGTAGAAATTTATAGCTCAATTGTAACACCTTATCTCACTATATTACCCAACCTAATGCTTGATACAAACACCTATTAAAATTTAAAATTATTTATTATTTGTAATGATTAGGGCGGTGATTATGATATATAGTATTTGTTTATAATTTTTTAATTATCGATAATTTACACTCATGTTGCAAATATAATTGATCGATTTTGAGACCTCAATAGAAAACAACATTCCTTTCGACTATTGAGGTCACCCAATGATTATTTTAAAAATGATTTGATTCAAATTTAACATTTAATTAAATAATTCATACTTATATCTTAAACTTGTGATAGAAGTTTAATTTAAACTTGAATTTTAAATTTACAACTTCTTTCTTTCTCTAAAACAAGACAACTATTGTTTAAACAATAAATTATAAATGCCTTGTGCAAAAAATAATAAATTATAAATGCTATAAAAATTGTTTTTAAAGCTCACTATATTAGGCACTTATTTTTTTAATGATTTAATTTTTTTTTATTAAGCTAAGGTGATTGCGAAGTAGTATTTGTTCTAAATACTCTCAACTATTTGACAATGAACGCTCAATTACCCTGCTGCAGTCGCTAGTGCTCAAACTCGCGACCTTTAAAAACAACAAAAATTTCTTAACTACTGAGGTAAATAGTTGAATGCGATTTAAATAAAAATTTTAAAATAACAAATAGCCATTATTTTTAATAAAAAATTATTATTATATATAATAATTTAACATGTTGTCCCATTCAAAGTTATTTTAGTATAAGTTTCAATATCTTTATTTTTCTAGGCTTAAATTAAAAAAGATATTCAAACTATATTATTTTTTATTTTAGGTACTTAAATTATTTTTTGTCAAACTAGGTGCTTAAACTATTATATATAACCACTTTAAGTATCTTAATTATTTTTTTGGTCAAAATAAGTCCCTAAACTATATATTTTTTTTTGCTTTAAGCCTTTAAAATATTTTTTTGTCAAAATATGTATGATATGTCGACATCTTATTGGTCGAAAAATAATCTTCTAACTGAAAATATATTAGGACTTAAAATAATTAAAGTATCTAGTTTTACCAAAAAATAATTTAAAGTATCTAGTTTTATCAACAAAAAAAATTAAATACCTAAAGCAAAAACGAAACATAATTTAAGTAATTATTTTTACTTTAAACTTTTTTTAATATAAAACTAACGCTATTAGTTAATATAATTATTAGTATTAAGTATGATATTAATAGATTAAGTGAAGAAATTATTTCATAGTCCCGACTCATCACGTTATCTATGGCCTTAGTGAATCACATCCATCAATTTTAAAATAACTTCCGAATAGCTATTCACTCTTTATTTATACGTATAAAAGAGGTGAAGATTCACCTTAAAATAAAATGAGATGAAAAAAAAATTATTGATTAAGATCACTTTGATGACGTGGTGATAGGGATGGGCACGGGGTGGGACACGTTGGGCTTTTGGTCGTTTGACCTCGACCCAAAAGTATTTTATTTAAATTGACTCCATTCCGTCCCGATTTTTATATTACAACCCTGATATTGACTCAAATATATTAATATTTTATAATAATATATTTATTATATTTTAAATGATTAAAATAAAAATATTTTATAATAATTTTTATATATTTTGGTATAACCACCGATATCTGATCTATTAATCGACTAATTCAAATCGGATACTGCAAAGGCAAGGGCTACCCTCCCAACCCATTTTATTTCATTTGCAATCGCTAAGATTCGATTCCCTGACCTTGTTTAAGAGATATACTGTCTCATTTCACTAGACAACTAGTTATTGGTAATAATTTTTATATTTTTAGTAACTAAAGAATATATTTTAATAATATAAAAATAAAATTTTTGAAATCTTAAATATATTATATATATAAAGATAAAATAATAATATATACCGGGTTGGGTTAGATAGGACTTGATCGATTTTTTCACCTTAGACCCGGGCCCACTCCAAAATTATATACCACATAATTCGTCTTGCCTACCTAAACCCCAAAATTAAAAAAACATCCTTATAAGATCAAGTCAAGTTGGAACCCATCAAATTCGGGTATTTTAATCATCCTTATATGATGAACCGTATCTATCTAATAATTTTTTGATTAAATGACAATAAAAATATCATGTTATCCATTTTTAAAATTAAATACATTAAAATTTAAGTAGTGATATCAACAATAAAAAACAATACGTTTTCTTTAAGTAATAATTCAAGTAATATCGTTTATAAGATATGCTTGAATTTTATCCAAACTTAAAATATATTATATATTTATATGGGTTATAGAAAATTTAGTACCTAATATGATATTAACCTTGTGCTTTATTTTTTCACTTGTTTATAGAAAAAAGTTGCTCTAGTTTTTTTATTAATCTCAGTAAAAATACTTTTAAAAAATATCTCAATAAATATAAAATAATATATATTTTAAAATAGCTCTAGACTATTTAATGTTTTATATTATATTTCAAATATTCATAATACTTAAATTTAAAATTTCAAAATTATTCCCGTATAGCATAATACTATGTTTTGAACTGCCGTTAACGTCACAGTATTCCGGTCATCCCCATTCTCCCTCGCTAGTTAAAATTCCATAACTGCCCTCCTGCTACCTTTATTTTGAAATTTCACAACACGAGCAAAATTCAGGGTTCCAGAAATAACGAAGAAAACCCCGCGTCGTTTTCTGTACAGCTCTTCCCGTTAAATCCAAGATTTGGGAACCCTTTCTTCATTAACCCCCACGAGGAGAAGTTTTGATCCACGTGTCAACCTCCTATTCGTTTTTGGCATTGATTCTAAGACGTTAATGTTACGGTGGGTTTTTTCCTTTATCGCCATTCGGGATTCTCATCGACCGCGAAAGTTCAAAAAACAGCAAAGAACTCGGAAGCAATAGCATAAAATAAAATGACGTGTCCCGTTTTTAAAAAATGTAATTTATTATTCACAATAAATTCTCATCTTCTCCTCTCTTGTATTTCTCTGTGTTAGTTCTCTTCACATCCTTCATTTCTCTCTCTTTTACGTTTCGTTTCATTTACTTCAAAATCAAAGAACTCAAAGCGTCTCCGGTACGATCTTTCCTCTGTTTTCATTTTTTTTATTCTTCGCTCTTTAGCGGTGCCTTTTTTTTTGCGATTTGTAGTCGTTTCCATCTTCGTTTTCATTTGAATATGTATTTTGTTAATGTTTATTAGGTCCTCTTTTTTGGTTGTTCAGATATGTGATGAAAAGAAATGAATTTTTTTTTGAATTTCTCAGAAATTGTAAACGGTTTTGTGAGAGACTGTAAAAATTTCGGATACATTTTATTAGTTGAAAACTGGGTATTAACAGAATAACTTAATTCAGCTTACTGCTTTTCGGCGTGCTTGCTTGAGGACCTTGTAAATAATATCCAGATTTCTTTAAGGAAATATTAACCTGTGACTAATGGAACTCGTTAAGGGGATATACTTTAATTTTTGCCCAACTAAGTAAAAGTAAAATGATAAATAAATGCTCCTGGTGTCTATAGGTAGTGGTTAAGCGGATCCTTTGTTTAATTATATTTGTCTTCCTCATTTCGGTGAAACATGTCAATGGGGAAATTGGATACCAAAATTTAGGACTGTTACAATTTATTTATGAAAATAGGTTAGAAAAAAACTGAGATTTTTTGTTGTTGCTGCAGAGTTTGTGGAGATAGTATGAACGTGATGGCAATGCAAGAACTGATAAATGACAAAAAAAAACTAACTAGTTTTAGGTGTTTATTGATGGTTTGAAAGGGGATTGTCTTCTACATAGCATTTTATCCTACACAAATTCAGTTTTTCAGGCATTTGAAGCAGATGGGATGAACGGGTTTGATAATATAGGTTTTGGAGCAATATGGCTATTGCTGGTCTAAACAATGTTTCTGTGCTTGGAAATTCCTTCCTAAGGGAGTCTCAGTCTCAAACACCAAGAACTTGGGGAAATGGTAGCACCCGGGCATCCTCACTCCTGCAGATGTGGCGGGAGCTTGAAGATGAGCATGTGGTGAGTCATGCTCAAGAGAGGGCAAGTGAAAGAATTCTCCAACCAAGGAGTGATGACCTCTCTGTGACTGATCTTTCTGATAGTCGAAATAGTGAACATAGTGGTGTTTCAGATGATGTGAGTGAGAGTGAGAATGAGTTTAGACAACGGTTGCCAGATCAATTTGGATTGCAGAATGGGAATGGGGATTCAAATAATCTTAATTGTGAACAGTCGTCTGGTTTGGGGGAGGTTGAAAGGGAAAGGGTAAGGCAAATTTTTCGGGAGTGGATGAACAGTGGTGGCAGGGACCATACATCTAATATTTCCCGTAGAAACAACAGTTCAAGAGTTCAGTGGCTTGGAGAAACTGAGCAAGAGAGGGTCAGAATTATAAGGGAGTGGATGCAAATGAACAGTCAGCAGAGAGGTGCTTGTGTTGATAGTAGAGAAGAGCAAGCTGCTGATGTTGGTGGTCAAATTGAACGAGTTCTTGATGGATTGGTGGTTAAACAGAATGAAGGCCGGACTGAGCTTGTGCGAAGGGGAATTCGTAAATTATGTGGTCGACAGGTCCTGCTTGATATGCTTAAAAATGCTGAAAGAGAAAGGCAGACTGAGCTCCAGGGCTTGTTGGAGCATCGAGCTGTATCAAATTTTGCCCATCGCAACCGCATTCAGGTAGATGCATGTAAAGTGTAGCCATTTTTAGGAGGCTATTGTCTTTATTTGTTCGCATGCTGTCCATGTTCTTCCAAATTTGCTAGTAAAGACACCTTGCTCCCATATTTAAGGTAGATGCTTATTTGGTAATTTCGGTGTTATAGATTCACATAATGGAGATGCATCTTACGCGTTTTTGCGGGCTATAGGGAATGTTCTCTAGCACAAAGTATACATGCAATGAGGTTCTCAGTTGCCTTCAATTTTCCCGTGTAGCTTAAAAGTCATTCTTTTAAGCATACTATTTTCTCTAACTAAATGTTTAATTATTGATTTATTCTTCCCTGTTAAAACTCTTGAAAGTAACTTTATTACACTTACGACATTCATACAAAAAGAGAGTCCCTATACATGCTAACCAGTGTAGATATTAAATGCAAGAAAGAATACTGATTTTGAATCAAGAGCTAAATTAAGATCATATGTCATGTAGGGAATGCTAGCATATTTGTCTCAATAGTTTTCCCTTTTTAAATCTTCCTATTTGACTGATGCTTACCATTGGTAGCATGCTGCTTGTTCTGATAATTAAATGCTCAGCAGATAATAGTTTATAACTCTAAAAAGCAATTAGGCTACGTATTACATATTTACATTAATTATTGTCTGCTAAAATTCTTGCATAAATCTCAACAGTGTTTATGGATCATCTATAAATGTCATTGTTTTTTAACTTTGAAGGCAACTGTAGTGGTTAGCTTGCGATGGTAGCTTCAAATTGAGTGACTTAACGCGTCCTAATGCTAATTGTTAACCTTTTGAGTTTCTTACCGTCTTCATTTTGGCATTAAACCAAACATGGATTGCTTTTATTGCCACTCACTTATTTCCATATGTCTTGTTTTTTTTAATGCAGTCATTGCTGAGGGGTAGATTCCTGAGAAATGGCAGAATGGGTGAACGTAACAGATCTACCTCTGTTGCAGCCAGCGAAATAGGCTTATTGAGACAAAAACAGACTGTATATGGTCTAAGGTTCTTTATTCTTTTTTTCTTATAAACAGCAGAGCCTTTTATTCAGATAACTTTATCTGATGCTGTATTCTGAGACAATTTCACTCTTTTTGCTTCCAGTTAACGTCTTTCATAGACTTTGTTTTATCAGAACTTCAAGCAATCAATTTTTTTTTTTTTTTTTTGTAAATTGTATTTAGTTTGTCCAGCAAAGCAGTATCTCTAATTTCTCTCTGATGCTTATTCACCTCATCTTCATTAAATCAAAGATGCGTTCAGAAGAATGAATTTGAAACTAGGGATTTAGATCTCAATTTGGACTGGGAGTTTTCACTAAAACTTAAAATAGTATACCTCCCATCTGGTTCAAATAATTCATCAAGATTTTTGCGACAAAAAGCTTCTTGGTAACATTGAAGTTGTGGAAACTAGTGATACTCTTGGTAACGTATTGATCAATGTGATGATGTGGTTGAGACTGTAAATGCTGGTACTTTGCACGACTTGACTCTTGAGTTAATTATTCAATTTTTCACATAAAGACCTGATGAACTTAGCATGTTAAGATATGACGCATTGGCGTGGCTCCTTGATTGTGACTTGGAGTTCAGGTTTTCAACTTTCAATTCATAAAAACGGCTTTTTGCGGAGCAGGGCGAAGCCTCCTGCATCTCCCCTCCCCATACCTTGCATATTACTGAGCTTTGTGTACCAGGCTTCCCTTTCTCAAGCACAACATTGGTATAAGCAAAACAGCTACGTGAAGTTGCAATTATTTGGTAGTGCATATGCATTTCAACGATCATGTCTAAATTTGCAGTACCGGCTTGTTGTGGTCCTATGTTTTTATCTTGAGGTACTCTTTTCCTCCTTCCGCTATCTCTAGATGTACCCCCCATGTATGTCTATGGATATGAAGGGGGTTTTTAACTAGACCTCCAATTCATATCAGATTTTTTTTTGAAATGTTTCCTTCTTTTCCTCATAGTGGATAGTTGGTTGGCTGGTCTAAACTTGGGACCTTTCTGAAAAAGCTTGATTGTATTTGCTTTGAGAAACTTTTTGGATGCTTTTTTGGTGGAAGTTGCAATGTTGAATTGAAATGATGTCATAACATTTATCCATTATATTTACGCGATACCTTGTTTACCATTCAATTGTAATATTTTGCAACCACTGCCTTTGTTTCAGGGAAGGGTTTTTCTCCAGACTGGATAATTCTGGTTCTGGTCCTGCGAGCAGTAATCAATCTGATACATCATCTAATGCTGATTCCAGTGCTAATAGAAATGAGCAAAATCAACTAAGTAACTCGATGGAAATCACAGATGGAATAAATGAAAACCCTGAACATGAGAATGTGCAAACAAATAACCAAAGGTTGCTGGAGGGTAGAACTGATTTAGATGATGATGTTGTTGAAGATATAAATTGGCAGAAAACCTCTGCTCGGGTAGAAGAGTGGCGGGAACGAGTTACTGCGAGTGTTGCTAGAGACTGGCAGTGGTCTTTCAGTGATGAGTTCAATGAGAACAGAGATGCTAGTGGAGAAATCTTGGATGGCGACTGGCAAGGAAATCTTGCTAATGAGTCTTCCCTTGGAACTTTGGCGAATGAGGCTGGAGAACATAATAATATACAAGAAGCTGGTTCAACTTCTTATGAACATTCTTCCCAAGATGGTGGAAGAAATGGGACCTATGGGTTAATGAATGATTTACAAAATTTGCAAAGGAATCCAGTAGCACAGATTAATGAGCAAGAATCTGCTTCACAAGTTGAACAATGGCAGGAGGATAAGGAAACTGTGGAAGCTGACTGGCAGGAAGCTAGAGTCGAGTATAATGAATTCATGGATGGTAATGAAGAAGCCTCTGACATGCATCATGATGGAGGCTTCCACGAATCTACGTGGGATTGGTTGGAGGGATCTTACAATCTAGAACCTGTTACCATCGGCAGAACTGATACATTTTATTTTCCTGATGATGAGAATGTACACAGTACGGAACTGAGGGAACTGTTAAGCAGGTATGGATTTTATTTACTGTTGGGCTCTTCTGATTAATTTTTTCTTACCCATGTTACTTTCAATACTGTAGGAGAAGTGTGTCTAATCTTCTTCATAGTGGTTTCCGTGAGAGTCTTGATCAGTTGATACAATCTTATGTGGAAAGGCACAATCATGCTTCTGTTGATTGGGAGCTAAATGGAACGTCTCCTCCTGCGTCTGTTGAGCAAGATATGGAGCAGCAAAGTGGCGATCAGGATGCTGAGACTGCACTTGCTCTTCCTTCAGCCAGGATGCCACCTATGCAACCACTCTGGGACCAGGATTCACACCATTATGATTGGGTGCCACATGATGCGCATCAATGCTTCGGTATTGTATGTCATTTCTTATTTGCAATTTTATTCTGTTCTAGATTATCTTATGAAAAGTTGATTAATCTATTATCTTATTGTTTTAGATACTTCTGGCCAAGATCCATTATTTTTATGGAAGAGTATTGTTCATTTGTCTATTACAATATTTAATATAAAGCTGTTATTTGATACGTCAAAGATAATGATCAAGTAATAGCCTTAGTGAAACCTATATCAAGCTTCTTCACTTGGTCTCCATTTTAATTGTGCTGCTAATTTGGTGCAGGAGTGGGAGATTGTTAATGATTTGAGGATAGACATGGCCAGGCTGCAGCAAAGGATGAATAATATGCAGAGGATGCTGGAGGCCTGCATGGATATTCAACTCGAGTTACAGCGGTCAATAAGACAAGAAGTTTCTGCTGCCCTTAACCGTTCTGCTGGTTCACAAGGTTTTCTTTTCTTTCCGTATCAGCTCACCTGGTTGTATTTCCTTCGGGGTTACTGCGGGGAAGTGCATATTCCTAAAGAGACATATTTAAGAAATTGAACTGCATATTTTTCTTAGTAACGAAATATAATTTTCTTGTTCTAATGAAAGCTGAAATTTTCTTATGCTGGATTTGTTCGTCATGTTTGTTAATCATCGTGATGTTCTGCTACAGGGATGATAGATGACAACTTGCCCAAGGATGTGTCTAACTGGGACAATGTCAGGAAAGGAATTTGTTGTATATGCTGCGAAGGCAATATTGATTCCTTACTGTACAGGTAAATCTTCAAAATTTATCTCAAGTTAGGCCGTTAATTTTTTTGTTTTCCTCATTCCTGTGTTATATTGTTACCAGATGTGGGCACATGTGCACATGCTCAAAATGTGCTAATGAGCTGGTCCATGGTGAAGGAAAATGTCCAATGTGTCGGGCACCGGTAGTCGAGGTCATCCGTGCTTACTCAATCCTTTAAGATCAAAAGTATTTATATATCTAATAAAAAGAACCAAAAGAAAAGTAGAAAACCCATAGAAAAATTTCATTTTTTTAAAGCTGGATCATTCCAGGTATATTATTTTCCCTTCTCTCATTTCATTATTTCCGCCTCTCTTGGGTCCCTTAAGCAGCCGTGATTTGATGAGTACATAAATTGAGGGCATGATTGAAACAGAAAACCCAACTTGTTGAAATCATTATATATTACTAATTTGAGTGTAAAATCATCAATTATAATTTATGCAATGATTGTTGGACTGTATTTTCTTATTTTTGAGGTTTTAGTCTATCTTTACGGTTTTGTTTTCTGGGAAAAATGCTTCAGTAGAGAAGGATGGTCCTTGCCGTTCACTGTACTATCATTTCTGTTAAATTACCATAATTTCTGTTAAATTGATGATGTGACAATATTAAAAAAAAGATTAATATTTAGTTTTACCCTTAAACTATTACTAAAACATTAAGCAAGTTCTTATACAATAATTTTATATCTAATTTATCCTAAAAACTTTTTAATTTCTATTTTTTTTTCAAATAACCACCACTACCACCACCATATTCCTCCCCTTCCCACCTCATCAGCTCCCAAACCTAGAAAAATATCTGCACTGCATTGAAGTTTATCACCAAAGCGATGCCGCAGAGTTTGTTAGAGATGAATCTCCTAATTCTTCAACAAGTGCTACTATTAATGAGCTTAATATTGATGCGGTTCCACCTTTGAAGACTTATTCTAGAGGGAAATTGAAAACAAACGCCCTTGACAAGGAGCAAATTATGGAAGACCAATTCCGACTTTCTCAACAACTTGGATTACATGCTTCCCACGACCTACACGTCACTGAAGATGAATCACAACCACCGTCTGTCTCCTACATATATTAAGCTGATTTCTAGGGATTTAATTTTATTTTTCAGCAAATAAGAGTCCAAACTATTTATTATATATAGGCTGGGATTTATTCTTAAGAAACGGTGAATTATTTTCTTTGAATCTAGATTAGTTTATTAATTGCAATAGTGTTAATATTCTTAATCACTACACTTAACAAAAATTATCGCTCTTTTTTCATCATTTCATCTCTTCTAAAATTCGATTTCTATCATTTTAATATTTGAATCAGGTTTGATTCTAAATGACGAAAACTCGTAACATCGTTTTCCATGACCAACAGGTCAATCCTCTAATTGATCCAAACAAATCAACCTCACAATCCGACAATTAAAATAACGACTCCATTGCCAACTTGCATCAATTTCTTTTCGGCTCAATATCATTAATAAGTTGCGGGCACATGCAGCGGCTCTTAAAACAGGAGCCAATAATGCATAACATTTAGACTCTGTTCCAAAGTTACCTAATAGAGGCAAGGCTAAGGAAAGTTCCACTAATACAAGAGAGCCTTAAAGATTCACATGATCAGAGGTTGAAGAAAATGTTTTTAACAGTCCATGGCCACATCAAATTTTTAAGGACGTCTGCGTACGAAGATGAATTTTTCAAAATTTGAGGGTAGAGATACCCGAGGGTGGATTCTTAAAGCAGAAAACATTTTCGCTACCATCAGACAACAGATGAATTGAAGGTGGACATACCTGTAATTTATCTAGAAGATGATGCACTAGACTTATTCTTATGGCTCAACAATGAACGGACCTTAGTTTGTTTTTGGATGAATTAGTTAAGATGTTTCAAGAAAATTACAATCCTGACGAGTTTCAAAATTCAGATGAATACTTAATGCGATGTCCGACAAATAGGTCAAAACATTGTTTGTTGGGCATTTTCCTTCATGGGTTACGAGATTACCTTAAAGCTGATGTAAGCATACACAAATCATGTTTCGTGCATCATGCTATGAGTTTGGCTATGAAATTTGAGTCCAAACCAAATCGAAACAATACGATCAAAGGATCTAGAAGAAAATTGAATACAAAATGCACGTAACAAGCAGTGTATTATGGTGATCAAGTCCAACTTCCTCAACTACATTCTTCCCACAACCTACACACCACTGAAGATGAATTACAACTACATGATGCGTGAAAGATGAATTTGATGGAAAATAAACGAGTATTAGTAATTTTCCTATAACCAGATTAGTGAAAATGCGAAATAAAAGTGAAAAAATAATACCCGAAATTGATAACGGAGTTCAGCCAATTGTGCCTACGTCTCCGGACTGTTGCAGATCTTTTACTAAGAGAGAAAATTTATAGGTGTTTACAAAACACCCACTAATCACAAGAAAACTCTCTAGTATTGGGAGAAAGAAATGATTTGGGATTTTGGGATGATTTTGAAGCTAAATGGGCTAGGGTATTTATAGTTGAAGCGTAGGGACTAATATTGTAATTACCCTAAAAAATACAATGGCTAAATGTATGATTTATCCATTACCATTTTCAACAAATGCTGCATCATTCGGTGCCTAATATTTTTTTTCCAACAATATCATCTAGCCGCCCATGATTGTTGCCCAATTTGTTGAAAAACTCCCCCTTTTTTGGCTTACGTTCAACAATCTCCCACTTGAAGACTGATTTTAATCTTTCTTCACACCTTGATCAATGCAGCATCATTTCTGGTCCTGTTATTCTAGCATGCCAACTGAAGCTGAACACAACTTTAGTTTGTTCGTGGTCACCATCTTTGTCAACATGTCTGCCGGATTTTGAGCTCCACTAATCTTTTCAAGTTTCGAAATCCCACCTTCCAGAAGAGACCGAATAAAATGATACCGTAATTGTATGTGCTTCATCCTGGAATGAAAAGAAGGATTATTTGTTAGATGGATAGCATTTTGACTGTCGTAATACAATACATTGTTTTCTTGTTTCTTGCCTAACTATTCCAAGAAACTTTGGAGTCAAACCGTCTCCTTGCTGGCTTCCGTAACAACGACATATTCTGCTTCAATTGTGGAGAGAGCAACTATCTTCTATAGTTGAGAAACCCAACTCACTGCAGTTCCTCCTAGAGTATAGACATACCCTATAATGCTCCTTCTGATGTCAACATTTCCGGCTAAGTCAGCATCTACATAGTCTGTCAGTATCGTATCTCCTCCTTTGAAACAAAATGCTTTGTTGTGGTACCTCGCAGATATCTGAGGATCCATTTGACAGCTTCCCAGTGTACATTTCCTGGATTATTCATGTACATGCTAACAGCTCCCACTGCATGAGCAATATCTAGTCTGGTACAAACCATGGCATACATTAGACTTCCAATTGCTGAGGCGTACAACACCTTCACCATGTGTGCACGTTCTTCCTCCGTCTTTGGTGATTATTTTTTGGAGAGTCTAAAATGAACACCTAAAGGTGTACTTACTGGTTTAACATCTTGCATGTTGAACCTGGAGAGTACTTTGTTGATGTACTCAGCCTGTGATAACATCAAAGTCCCCGGCTTTGTGTCTCTCTTGATCTTCATCATAAGAATTTGCTTTGCAGCACCCAGATCTTTCATAGCAAACTACTTCGACAATTTTTGCTTCAAGTTTATAATCTCTTGCATGTTTGAGCCTGCAACGAGCATGTCATCAACATACAACAATAAAATAATGAAGCTGTTGTCGAACCTCTTGATGTAGCAACAATGATCTGCTTGACATCTGGTAAAACCACTGCTACTCATGAAGTTATCGAACTTCTTGTACCACTGTCTAGGAGCTTGTTTTAAACCATACAAGCTCTTCTTCAACCTGCATACCAGGTTTTTCTTGCCTGCCTCTATGAAGCCTTCTGGCTGCCTCATATAGATTTCTTCCTCCGAATCACCGTGAAGGAAAGCTGTCTTTACATCTAACTGCTCAAGATGTAAATTCTCTGCAGCTACAATTTTCAACATCAGCCTGATTGTAGACAGTTTTACGACTGAATAGAAAATTTCATTGTAATCAATACCTTATTTTTGCTGAAAACCTTTGACAACCAATCTTGCTTTGTAGCGTTTGCTCCCATCATGCTCTTCTTTGATCCTGTAAATCCACTTGTTGTGGAGCGCTTTCTTGCCTGGTGGTAATTCAGCTAATTCTCACGTCTGATTTGACATAAGTGGGTCCATCTCATCTTTCATGGAAGACTCTCACTTGACTGAATCCTCCATTTGCATTGCTTCATCATAGCACTCTAGTTCACCATTGTCAGACAACAACAAGTAGTGCAAAGAAGGCGAATAACGTTGGGTTGGTTTAGGAATTCTGGAAGATCGTCTCAGTTCTGGTGTGCCTAGTTCTTCTTGAACTGCTTCAGGATTGACCTGAACATCATTTCCAGAAATCTCCTCAAACTCAGCAAATTCCTTTGTTTTAGCTTCGGTATTTGAGCTACTTGATTCTATGGTTGACTTATTTTTGTACATCACATTCTCATTGAAAATGACGTCTCTGCTTCTGATGATCTTTCGATTTTTGTAGTCCCATAACCGGTAACCGAACTCATCGCCACCATAACTAACAAAGACGTATTTGTTGGACTTGGCGTCAAGTTTGCTTCTTTCAGCAGGATTTATGTGTACATAAGAAATACAACCAAACACTCTTAAGTGTGAAAGGTTTATTTCTTTCTTGCTCCAAACTTCCTCTGGTATTCTTTCATCCAAAGGAACCGAGGGCCCATGATTGATCAGGTAAACTGCAGTGTTGATAGCTTCAGCCCATAGAAATTTGGACAATCCGACATGTATCCTCATGCTTCTGGCACGTTCATTCAGAGTTCTGTTCATGCGCTCTTCTACGCCATTCTGTTGCAGTGTCATAGGAGCTGTTGTCTCCATCTTGATCCCATTGATTGCGCAGAAATCTTTGAATCTCCTATTTCTGTACTCTCCTCTATTATCAGACCTCAACCGCTTCACTTTCAAACCAGTCTCATTTTCCACCATAGCCTTCCATTTTCTGAAGGTATCAAAGACTTCTAATTTCTTCTTCAGAAAATAAACCCACACCTTCCTCGTAGAATCATCGATGAAGGTGACATAATATAATGAGCCTACAAGAGATGGATCTGGAGATGGTCCCCATACATCAGTATGAACCAACTCTAACTTTTCTACCTTGGGTGTCTAGTCAATCTTTGCAAAACTGACTTTCTTTTGTTTTCCAAAGATGCAATCCTCACATAGTCCGACATTTACATTCTTTTGATCCGGCAGCTTCCCTTTTGACAAAAGTGTCTTCATCACTTTCTCGCTCATATGGCCAAACCTTTGGTGCCATAGGTTTGATTTTCCATCAGCATCTGCTACTGCAATGATATTCTCTAAATTTGAGGTTATATAGAGAGTACCAGTCTTCTTACCACGAGCAATGACGAGTGCTCCTTTGGTAATCTTCCATTCACAGCCTGAAAAGGTTGTGCTATATCATTCTCCATCAATATGTCCTAAAGAAATCAAATTTCTTTTGAGGCCAAGAATATGTCTTACTCATTTCAGCGTCTAGGTGGTCTAGTTTGGCAACTTTAATCGGACGTCTCCTTTTCTGACGATCTTCAAGGTTTCATCATCAACTAGATGAACCTTCCCAAAATCACAACTGCCATAGTTCTCCATGATTTCTCGACATGCGGTGGAGTGGAAAGATGCCCCTGAATCCAAGATCCATGATTCAATCGGACTGTTGACGCTTAGAATCATAGCATCACCTGTCTCCTCTGTCACGTTGGCAGATTCCTATGCGTCAGTATCTTTCTTCGGTGCTCGGCAATCTCTTTTAAAGTGACCCTTCTTGCCACAATTATAACAGGTATAATATTTCTTTCCCGTTCTTGATTTTCCCGTTCTGGATTTGGATCTGCCACGATTTGAATTTCTCTCTGAAGTTCTCCCTCTAGACTCCGTGTGCAAGACTGAGGAGGTTGATGCTTCACCCGATTCTCTTCGTTGAATTTCTTCACTCAATACCAGATACCGAACATCGTTGAATTTTAATTTGATGTTTCCTGACGAGCTGCTGACTGTTGTAACAGTAGTATTCCAACTGTCTGGTAGAGATGATAAGAGAATTAAAGCTCGAACTTCAACATCGAATTCAATTTTCACGGAACTCAACTGGGTTGTGATTGTGTTGAGTTCATTTAGGTGTTGAGCCACCGATGCCCCTTCCGCCATCCGCAAAATGAATAATCGCCTCATCAGATGATCTTTTTTGAGGCTGATGGCTTCTCATACATACTGGAGAGAGCCGCCATAAGACCCGCCGTGATCTTTTCCTTTGCTATGTTGAAAGCAACATTTCGGGACAACGTCAGTCGGATAACTCCGAGGGCTTGTCTATTGAGAAGAGCTCAGTCTTCATTCTTCATGCCCTTTGGTTGCTTTCTTGAGAGAGGTTGATATAGATTTTTCTGGTACAAAAAATCTTCAATCTGCATCTTCCAAAAGCCAAAGTTCGCACCATCGAACTTTTCAATTTTCACATTCCCTTGGTCTGCAGCCATCGCTTCCACTTGAATCTGGCTTCGTTTGGATCGTTTCCGACAATTCTTACGAACCACTTTGTATTAGAACATCTCTGTCGACAAACTCGTAAAATTTTTACTATTCACAAAATTTACTATTCACAAAATTTACTATTCACACGAATAGTAATGAATAGTAACCTCACAAAAAATTGATAAAATTCACAATCAAAAGCTCTGATACAGTTGTTGGGAAATAAACGAGTACTAGTAATTTTTCTATAACCAAATTAGTGAAAATGCGAAATAAAAGTGAAAAATAATACTCGAAATTGATAACGGAGTTTAGCCAATTGTGCCTACGTCTCTAGACTGCTGCAGATCTTTTACTAAGAGAGAAAATTTATAGGTGTGAATTCTAAACCATAAACCATAAATCCTAAACCATATATATATATATATATATATATATATATAAACTATATAATATTTTAATATTTTAATATTTTAAATGGACGATGATTATCATCTGTTTCTCTTTGGAAAAATAAAATTAGTTTGTGAATTCAATTCAATTAGAAAAAGAATTATGTGAAATATGTGGGTGAATCTCATTGGTTGGATGGATAACCCACGGATTGGCATTTATGATTCAGTCATCGAACGGCTGACATTGTATCTTGCAGTCCTCAGCAATAACAGTGAAAAGCCGCTTAAAAGAATGGATATTATTGGTCGTTTTCCATCGCCCACGGATCAGACATTTGATAAAATCTTAGTCGTCCATACCTCAATTAGCTACGGTTCAGATTTACCCATTTAAAATCTTAAGTAAAAAGAATTTTTTAATTTTTGGGAATTTCGGGTCTAGCGGGAAGATTTAGTGCCCAATGGATTGGGTTAATTAGGCCCTCAATCCTTCATCAATTAGAATTTTTTATTTTATTATTTAATTTTTGAGTTTTTTCATTTTAGTCACGGTTTAATTGTAAATCATTTATTGAATTTTTCATTCAATACAATTTAGTCATGTATATATAATTCTAATTATTTTTAATTTTATCTTCTTTCTTTAATGTACATAATTATTAAATGTTAATGTTAATTTTAGAATCTTTTATTTTAGTCACTTATGTTTAATGATATATATATATATATATATATATATATATATTATATAGTTTATACATACTATACATAGCTTATATATACATGTAGCTACATATATAGTTCAAGGTTTAGGGTTTAAAGTTTAAGACTTAAGGATTAATTTAGGGTTTAAAATTTAGGTTTAGAATTTAGGGTTTAAAGTTTGGGTTTGGATTTGGGTTTAGGGTTTTTTATAAACTATATATTTTATTAATTTATATAGTTTATGCATATTGTTTCTATACATTATATAAGTAATTTACTTTATATGGTTTATATATATAGTATACATAGTTTATACATACATGTACTATAAGTTACATATATAGTTTACATGTATACATATATTATAAGTTACATATATTAACTATTGTTTATAGACTTAGGGTTTTTATAAACTATATAATTTATTACTTTATATAGTTTATGCATAGTATTTCTTTATATATATATATATATATATATTACTTATATTAGTTATACATACATATATATAATATATTAATATAAATTATAACATATAAACTATATATTTTAAATATTTTATACATATATAGTTTTTATATATATATATATATATATATATATATATATATATACTATATTAATATAAATAATATTTTATAAACTATATACTTTTTATAGTTTATACATATATAGTTTATATACAAAGTTTATATATACAGTTCACATAAACATAATTTATATATATATATATATCTCATAATAATTATATAGTTTATAATATAAATATAGTTTATGATTTTATATACATAGTTTATATATATAGTGCACATAAATATAATTTATATATATGGCTTATAATAATTATACAGTTTATAATAATTATATAGTTTATAATATAAATATAGTTTATATATAAATTTATATTATATATATATTATTTTTTAATTTTTTGAATGAATGCAAGTTAGTATATTTTTCATTATTTCTTCACATTTTGTATTTATTTTGATTTAACCTTTTTGTATTTTTTAATTTATTTCAATTTTAAGTCTTTAACTTTTATATGTATTCAATTTTAGTCATTAAATTTATATTTGCATATTCCATTGTTAGTTGTTATTTATTTATATTTTTGTAGCTGGCCCATAATTTTTAAAATGTGTTTAATTTAGTCTTTTTTTATATTAATTTAAACCTCACATTTTATATTTATTTTGATTTAGTCCCTTACCTATGTGTGTTGTTTAATTTATATTTTAAGATTTTATTTGTAATTTTACATTTCTTCAATTTTGTCATTAATTTTATTTTTTTACAAAATTGATCCATGAATATTTATTTTTCTCTTATTTTACTCGAAATCATATACAATTACAACTTTCAATTCAACAATCACGAAATATGACAAAATAATTATTCTAAAAAAATAAAAACGACCCGACCTGAACTCAATCTGTATCTGATAAACATCCGACCTGAATTTTATCTTTCAATGATGTGATCTGATCTGAACGAGATCCAACTGAAGTCAACCCGAACCTGAATTAACCTGGTCTTTATCTGCTTCAGACCTGAATTATTTTTACCTGAACTGACATCGATCCGAACTGAAAATGACCCGATCTGGATCTGGTGTCAAATCAACCTGAAAATAACCCGAACTGATTTGACTTGACCTGAACCTGATCTGAACCTGATGTCAAATCAACTTGAATAGACATGTACCCGATTTTACCCGACCTATCAAGAACCGACTAAAACCTAATCGATTACCTGATTTTACAACCCTAATAATAACAACCAGGTCCAGGAATCCCCTAGAGTAATTAAATAGTTAAAAAATATATTATGTACTAATTTTAATATGTCAGTCAGTCACATTGGAACTTGTAAGCATCAAAAGCTCAAAGTTCGTCGCAACATGGGTGGTAGCCCTAAACTTGAACAGCTACTCACCCTCCTCATCCCTGATATCGTTTCCATCACCGTACACGCGTCACTGATCTCAACCGTGAACGACTGACCGACACACTGATGATCAATCCCCTCCTGCATTACACTCAATTCACCGCTACCGCCGTTCATGCTCTCTAACAATCTGGTCCCTCTACAGACGGGACAGGAAACGTGGGAAGAAAGCCACGTGTCAATACATTCGACGTGGAAAACATGTTTGCAATGCGGTATCGTTTTAAGCCACTGCTTCTCTTCAAACTCGGTCAGACAAATGGGGCAATCTATCTGGTACTTGGCATTCCCATGGTAAGAATTTACAGGCAACGAACCAATGGTTGTTGGGTCAAGTCCTTTGCGTGGAGCCGAGACATGATGAATATCAGAAGTGAACGGAAACGAATTAAGTAGGCCACCACGGTAACGTCTTCGACGAGAGAGCTGAGTTATGGGATCTTCAGAGAAACGACGAATATAAATAGAGAAAAATCCCATGAAAAAGAGAGCTGTGAGGAGAACAACGGTGAGAGCCATGGAGGAGTCGAGAGGAGGGCTGTACTGAGGTGCTTTTTTGGATGAAGACGGCGGAGATGAAGTGGCGTTGGTGGTGCTGGGGAGGTGGAGTGGTGGTAACGAGGTGGCGTTGGCGGCGTAGGGAGAGTCATAGTAGAGGAAGAGTTTCCGGTTGTGTGGTTTCATTTGAAGTTTGGAAGATTGAGGTCAGTGGTTTGCTCTGCTCTCGTTTTGTTTTTATTAATGTTTTTGGAGTCAAAGGTAAGCTTAGACGTTAAATAAATTACTATTATATATGGAATTCTAATAAACAACAATTAGTTAGTATATTGAGATGAGATACTAAGTATTTTAAGTAAAGTTAGAAATTTGAATCTTGAAATTTATGAATTAAGTAAATTAGATTGGGAGGGTCGCCATCGTCCCTATAGTAATCAATCTGAATTAATTTATTAATAAATCAGATATTAATAATTAATTCAAAAAATAATAGATCACGGGGATAAGATGGACGGTCGGATTCATCAAGGCTGAATGTGATGTAACAATTATAATAACAATAATACATTAGAATGAACAAAAAAAAAATAAAGGTAGAAGAAAATAAGACGGGATTTTTAAATCAATATTATTTTATTAAAAAATAACTTCAAATCTGTCACGTGGTAATATTTTACATTCTACAGAAATCGTTTAAATTATTTTGAGGGTATTTTTTAAATATTGGTTTAGGTTATTTTTTTAGTAGAATAATAAAAAAAAAGTTTATTGATTTAAAATGCCCAATTAGAAGTCCTTTTCATAGTTGAAACTATCTTATATGGTTGTTTTTTAATATATATATATATCCTTTGGTAAGAAATTAATTTTATATTTCTTTGATTAATTTTTATATAATTTTTTTGTTTTAATCCATTTTTATATAGTACTATGTAAAAGCTATCATATAAAATATTTTCCTTCCCTTCTTTAATAAAAATAGACTTCTAATTCTTTTCTTTCATTTGATTTTAATATTAACCCTTGATGGGATGATGATATAATTCTATAAAATAATTAATATAAATATATCAAATTTTGGTGTAAATATAAAATAATTTAAATATAATAGGATAGGAAATACAAATTGTTAGAATATACGGATATTCTAAACTCAAAAAATGTAGAAGAAAATTTCTACTAATTAAAATTAATTAATGATCCCTAACTTGAGGTTTGTAAAAGGGCCGATAAGTTGTTCAAAAAAGGAAAAGGGACTGATATTCTTTTTTGGGATGCTTACTAAGGGCTTCTAATCAGAATAATCTCCAAGCAATCTCACAGGGAGAAATATCGATTAGCAATTGATTTATTAAAAATAAGGTATTATATATTTTATATAAAATCAATAAAATAAATTTTAATATTATTATAAATTAAATTAAAAAGTTATTTTTATAATAAATATTTTTAGTGCCCAATCAAAAATTTTCAACCAATAAATAAGATGGTTATAGTTATACAAAAAAATGGTTAAAATTGTGATAAAACCAATTGTAATTGATTGATATCTATAGAAAGTTGATTTACTAATTAAGCTAATTACAATTCAAATTAAACTAATTTACTAACCCCAATACATACATTTCTCACTTTATCATTTTATTTCAAATTCATATTCCAAACAAAGCATAAACATAGCACGTATTATTTTTGGGCTGGGACATAAAGAGGAGTTGGCTTTGATTGTTGTATTCTTGATTGGTTCATTATTTTTACAAGAGAAAATAACTTTAGTGACCGAAAATGCCTTATAATATATGATTTTAACCAATTTTTTTTGGATTTGCAAAAATGACCAACAAATTCGCAACGCGAACTACAATTTCGCAACTCAGTTTTGAAATTCGCAACACGAATTTCTTTTTCGCAACGTGATTTTCCAAATTCGCAACGCGAATATGTAAATTGCAACACGAATTTGTAAATCGTAATGCGAATTTGTAATTCGCAACACAGAAGTCAAATTCGCAGCACAGAAGTCAAATTCGCAAAGCGCGTTTATTTTCGTAATGCGAATTTTATTTACGAATTCGAAACACAATATTAATTTCGTAACTCATAACCTAAAACCCTATATCACAACTCAGTCTCATCTCCATCTCTCACTCTCTACGGCGACATACGTCCCAATCTCTGGCGAAATCCGTCCCCATATCCGGTGACCCCCCTCTATCTCCATCTCTCAGAGCCACCCTCACAACCATTCACGACCACAAATGGAAAATCAACCACCGAAGGTTAGTTTTTTTAATTATTTTTATTTTGAAATTTTTGTATTATTATTAGATTTTTCATATTTAAATTGATGATAAATTTACTGGTAATTTCAATATATAGATTAACCATTTCACTTAGATTTCTTAGTAAATTCATTCGGTTGATGCCAATACTGCTAAACTATTTAGTCTTTAACCCTGTGAAGTTAGTATTTATCTTTGTTTTGTCTTTTGGTTGAAGTAATGCAATTCATTCAAGTTTCAATTTGCAGAAGAAGAGTAGTTTCTGAAACTTAAATTCGCAACGCGAAAATGAAAATCACAACGCGATTTTAGTTTTGCGTTGCGATTTTCATTTCTCGTTGTGATTTTCATTTTCGCGTTGCGAATTTAAGTTTCAGAAACTACTCTTCTTCTGCAAATTGAAACTTGAATGAATTGCATTACTTCTACAGAAAAACAAAGATAAATACTAACTTCACAGTGTTGCGAATTTAAGTTTGAAGAATAAACTACTACTCTTTATGTTGTCCTTGAACCTGCACTAAACATATATGCTGTCCTTTTAAATGTTTATATAAGTGCTTACTTCTGGAATGTTATCTGATGCATTTTGTGAACTATGATAGAATAATGACTTGGGTGAATATCGTGCTAGTTTGAAACATATTTGGCTTTGTTTTCACTGTTTAATATCATGTCTGCTTATAGTGTATAATTTGTAGTTTTTGGTATATCTAACTTGGTATGTTAATTGTTTTTGTTAGAAATTTTTTTCGGCTTCATTGACTTTAAGGAATAAATTAAGCCTAGCCACTACAATTACGTCGACACTTATACATGTACAAAGAAAATTGTTTGAGGATACTTGCTTCGGGCCATGGCTGAAAGTACAACACCCAGGTGGAGATACTATGTTAACCCATTTGTTTCTTCAAACCATGACTAACAATCTACCCGAAAGGATAAAACATGGTGATGAAGAGATATGGTTTCATTTTTCACCGACGTATACTTGTTTTGGGAGGAAGGAATTTTGCTTAATTACTGGTCTACGTTTCGAACACGATGAAGTAGGTTGGTACACTAGTCATATCGCCCGCCCATCATGGTTATCTCGGGTTTTTTCCTGAGCTGGCAAAGGCGAATCCCAGTTTACACGTCGACGACTTGAAAAGATTACTTCTTAAAGATGGTTTTACTCGGATGGATGACCTCGATGTTGTTCGAGTATGCCTTTTATTACTTTTGCATGCCGGCTTTTTAGGCAAAGAGGCCAGACAACCTATTTCTGAGGACCTAATATTATTGGTAGAGAACCTAAATGCATGGAACGTGTTTCCGTGGGATTTATATCTATGGAAAGCTACCTGGAAAAAAGTTGTCGTCTGCCTTTGATGACCGTCGTAGTTTGCGTGGACATGGTTCCAAATACACTTTGGTAGGCTTTATTTGGGCCTTTAAGGTAATAATTTCTATATAATGTTTCCAAAATTATAATTAAATTTAACAATTACTAAAATTAATGTTTGTGTATTATATTATTTGTAGATTTGGATATTTGAGTCTTTTCCCAGCATGCGGACATATGCAATCAAAAAATCAAATGATATTCCTAAGGCTATTACCTGGAGGAGGATCCGACTATTGGATTTGAGAAGAGTTACTACCATATACGACGATGAATTATGTAAGTTAACACAAATACTACCATATATAAACAAGTTATTACTAGTAGACGTTTAACTTTGTTTGAGCTTTTATATTGTTAGGAGGCCAACTATCCATTACAGAGGCTGACACCCACAGAGGTTGAGCTTGCCACTGATTAGTGGCAAGCTAGTAAGCGTTTTTTTGATGGGACGGATGATGAGCACCCCCCACTTCGAGAGCCATCACCTGATCGAGCCGATTCTACAGCTCGACACCCAGAGCCATCACCTGATCGAGCCGATTATACACCTCCATAATGAGAGCAATCACCTATTCCATCACATCATCGAGCCTCTTCTCCACCATCACCTCATGATAGGCGACCGAAAAAGATGCCACGACATTTATCTCCCTATTCTCCACCTCCACGGGATGAGTTAGGGGAGTTACATGATGAGGTCAGTGCTTTGCGTGATGAGGTCGGTACTTTACGTGATGACAATGGTACATGGCATGATGAGGTACGGTCTTTACGTGGTGAGGTAGATGTTTTACGCGATGATAATGGTGCTTTACGTGGTGAGGTATCTACTTTACGTGATAAAGTAGCGCTCTACGTGAGATTGTTTCACCGTTGCAGAATGAGGTTCATACTCTACACAATGAGGTAAGTTTTTTTAATACTATACTAAAAATTCAAATAACTTTTTTTCGACATTATTTATTTATTTATTTATTTACTGATTTATGTATTAATTTATTTTTAGTGGCCCGATAAGGTAGATGCTTTACGTCGGGTTTTTCTTGCACGACGGGGTTCACGTATCAGATGTCATGCACGTATCATTACCCTCTTTTCACCCTAATTGTTCCAAGACCCCATAAGAAGAAGCCCGATTCACCTATCATCGTTCAAGAGGCCCCTCCTATCGTTCAAGAAGCCCATCCCACCGTTCAAGAGCCCAATTCACATGGCATATTATGTTGACTTATTGATAAACCCCCTCACGTGCCTGATATGATGGATGAGAGTTGGCTTTCGTATCAGTTATTGGTCATTACCATTCCTCAGCAGGAGAAGAGAACACTACCGGACAAAATTATGGATAATACCCTTTGGGCTAAGACCGCAATTGATTTTTATCTACATGAGCGGAGCCAGGGGTGTTACGTTGACATATGCAAAATCAACGATGATATGTATTTGTTTCTTGATCGGTCTTGGTGGAGTGTTGTATTAGGGGTTGAAGAGAATGGCTATTTTGAATGGGGGGTAAGTCTTATATTCTTCTTATATTGCATTTT